TGCACTAGAATCATGTCCCTGTAAAAGTGAACAAAGTCAACCAAATCATGCTATGTCCATGTACAAATGAATAGACACCAATGAATCTCACATTATATATAAATATAATGCACTAATCTAAAAATAATAACAGAAGGGAGACCAGTAGACTAGGTAAAGGGATCAGGGAGAGGGAGAAAGGAAGGGAAAGGAGAGGGACTGAGAAATGAGGTTGAACAAATTATGTACATCTATGAATATAGCATAGTGAATCCTACTATTATGTATAATTATGATAATTAAAATGCACTGATAAAATTTATAAAGAATAAGGCCGATTTAAAGAAGTAAGCATGTATTGCTTCCTTTTAAAAACATGCCTTGCCATGTTTGAGGATCCTAGAAGGCCAGGAATTGATAGAAGACTTGTTTGCACACAGATTATAATTCTGTCACATCTTTCACTGCCTGTGGCCCGATCTGGAAGCTTCTGAGACACTGAGTTTGGCTACATCATTCTGCATAGAGCTCACATAGTGATTTTTAAAATGTGTGCAGTCTCAGGAGCATTTCATCCACATAAAGATTCTTTTCTGCTCCTAATTTCTCTACAAACAATAAAGCAGATCCCTTCCCAAGCCCATCATGACCCAGTTCTCTTTGCTGATTTCCTGTGGGGACGGCCAGCACCACCCTGCTGGGGAGTCCGAGAGAGCCTCTTGCTCCTCTCCAGTGGAGGGCTCAGGAGACTGAAGCTATTTTATTCCTCAGTTTTCAGAATTAAACTAAGTTTTAGATCCTACCTGTGTTTTCACAGCTTTGTGATCTTGCTTCCCACTATCTGTCCCAGTTAAACTGGGTCAGGTAATGATGATCATATGGAAGGGGAAGATTCAGTCTCAAGAAGGAATGATACGATAAGGCATGGGTGACGGAAAGGCTAGAGGTTGAATGAGTCTTATCACTGATTTCAAGCAGTGACAGGCCATCCTTTGACAAAGCAATGAGATTTACTCTGTGCAACTCCAGAAAACAGAACCAGGACTCATGGATATAGCAGCTTGGGTTTTAGAAGAGATGCTAACCTATTGATCACAGCTTATTTTTTTCTAAGTAGATACTGAGCTTAATTTTTTCTTTGTAGATATTGAGTTTTGTTTCCCTGGATCCAGAAAAGATCAGCTGAATACTTTGGTCTATGTATCAGTGACCCATAAATTTGGAGAGGAATTATATCTAATGACCTATCTTGTTCCTTAGAACTTCATGGCTCTGTGTTTCTACAGCTGAACATTTCCTTTCTAGTTCTTTAGCTGTGTGTGTGTGTGTGTGTGTGTGTGTGTGTGTGTGTGTGTGTTTGCAATTAGTACAATGGATTATCAATTCTGAAAGCTAGTGGAATATACCTTTTTCAAGAAAAATCTTGATTGTAACTTTTGTGATTCTATTGAAATTAAGTTAGAATCAAGTTGTCTTGAGCTAATATTATTTAGATCATAGAAAGAATATTAAAATGTATGGAGTCAAGCAGATATCCAGGGATTAAAACTGGCCAAGGAGCAACATGTAATCATTAATAAATGGCAACTCAGTCAATATATAGCTTTTTTAACTTTAGAAAAATCATTTAAACATTCTGGTGTTCTCTTATCTGGGAAACAAAAAAAGAAGTTTGAGCTAAACTCCCACTATTTTAAAATGCCATTATTCTGGAATCTTCACCTGACTCTTGACTCTCATTCTGGCACTTTGATTCCTCATTCTTTGAATTTGTATTCCTCTTTATCCAGAGGGTTTTAAAACCATTTCCAAAGGTACAACTTAAGGCTCAAAATAAAATACAAAAAACAAACAAACAAACAAAACACATCCAACTCTTATATCACCCTCTCTCATACATAAAGAGGAGTGGGTTATAAAAAAGAAATTTTATGCTTTAATTTAATCTGTCATTAAGCAATTAGCTGTGTACCCTTGAGCTAAGTATTTCGTATGTTTACCAGGTGAGCGTGATAACATTCATCCCATCCCAAGTCCCTGATTGTGAGGACCAGATGAAAGAGTGTATGTGATTTCAGATAGATGAACCTGTGGCATCCCTGGGCAGGAATGCTGCTGCTGTGTGTCAGCACAGCCTCCTCAGGACTCAGTGGTAAAGAACATCCCCTGGAAGGCAGGCTGCTCACTGTGTGGGCCTGGCTGTCTTCCACACACATCTGCCAGATGCACTGTCTGAACAGCCTTAGAAGCTACTAGGATGTGACTCTAAGAAATTGCCGCCCTCACTATGTCCACATTGTGTGCATCTTTTGGTAAAGCACTTTATGTGTTTATTCATTCATTTTCCCCTTTATCATAATATATATATATATATATTTAATATAATTTAGAGAATCAAATGTGATTATTCTGCATTTCCAATTGTTCACCTGTTTTACTTGACCTCTAGGAGGCTCAGGGTAAGTTCCATGCTCAAATAATATAGCTAGCTCCTCAGTTTTTGATATAATATTGCATATTCCCTTTTCTTTATATTTTTTGTACTTTCATTTTGTGTGAATTGATTTGTGGTTCTGCACATGGAACTTTTAAACTTCTGTTGGAGGTAGAGGAAGAATGAATGGATGTATATTTCTTGTGACAATATCCCCACTTCATTTTCTGATTTTCACTGTTAGAATTAAATGAGATGTTTTTGTTTCCAACTTCAAGTCTGAGGCATGTACCTGACTTTGTAATGTACTGAGAACATATTGCACTGTTTTCTAAAGTCATTCTTAGAACTATATTTTCAGCCTATAAGTTTTAGGGACAAATGGGGGTGGTTTTAGGAAGAAGAAACACTAATCATTTTCCTATCATTTTCTGGAATGTAACCATTTCACTCAGGGACTGAACCCAAGAATATGGCTTTAGAGACTTTTTTCCTATTACCGTAGACCAAGGAATTGCATCTCCAATAGTAGTACCACTCCTTGGTAACCAGAAGCATGTTACTTTGGATGGAGACATGGTGAGAGTAAGCCAGAATGCAGACTGGCCTAAAGTATTTATAAATAAATATTGAGTTAGTTTTAACTCTTGGACTCATAGATTAAACTTTGTCCAATTGTCCCAAATATAGGACACTTAAAAAAACTCAAATGTAGCATGTAATAAGATTATTATTGTTACATCACAATATAATAATAATATAATAATGAATAATCTGTATATTATGATTTCCCATCAATTTTAATGCACCTGTGTCTATTTCATTGAAATATTTGCAGAACTGAAAATGTGGAACTTAAGGAGTTAAAAGAAACCAGAATGAAAGAAAATCTAGGGATGATTCATAAACCTTACCTGTTTATAAGCCTAACAGTCCCAACGCTCCACTAGCAAATACCAGACTATGATTAACAAGGTCAAATTGTGTGTGTGTGTGTGTGTTTAAGAAACTGTATTCCAACAGGAAACAGTGATTTGTTGAATTTTCTCTATTATAATTTTTATTGCCTTTTTTGGTTATTCATCTCTGTCTTTCTAAACGTAGATAATTAGGAGTTAATTTTTGTGCTTTTCTTCAGGATCATAAAGCTATGATCTAAGTAGGAAGAGAGAAATGAATGGGGCAGACAGTAATTTTCCAACTGTTCTCCCCATGGCCACTTCCTTAAGGAAGAAAGGAGCCCTCTCCATATTTATGCCACAGAAGTAAGCTGTTGAGGAATGGAGGGCGAGAATGAGCTCTGGAGAAAAGCAGAAGAGGTCTCAAGCAGTAAGACACAGGGGAAGGGTGGAAATGGTAGACTGTTTAATGCCTAGTAGGTTCTGGAACGATTCTCACACTGCCCAAGAAAGAGAACAGACATTTTGATGAATATCTGGACAGGAATGCAGAAGAGTCACTTAATAGGAAGGATTGCCTTTTATCTATCTATCTATCTATCTATCTATCTATCTATCTACTATCTATTTATTTTACTTAGTCTATATTCTTCTCAAACAGATTATGAGTTCTCTCTTCTAACATCCTTGAAAAGGTCCTGAAATAGCCTCCCCCATTTTCTTTAATTGTAACTGTGTGTTGACCACTTAGTTCCTCATTGTTTGGGGGTTCATGGTGTCCCTAGGGACAGGGATTGTGCAAGGTGGAGTAGGTGTTGTTTTCAGTGAGGAGGTGCTGTGTGTGGGTAGGTAGAGTGGCCTGGAAAGGTAACAGCAGATACACTTAGAAACTGAATTAAACTCAAAAACTCATTTGATGTTTACAAAATATCAGCATTAACCTATTAGACTCACCTGAGAAATAAATTTAGTTATTCTGAAGGCTTATGTAACATATGTGCTTAGGTATAGAGACACAAGAGAAGAATTTGAATGTACTCTTTTTTCAAACGCCTCATCAAGCATTCTATACAATGGATTGGATCAAAGGAAACAATACCCTTCACATTATTCATTCAATTTCGTTCTCTGAGAAGCTGGTGAATATTCATATCAAAGTTGTTTTTGCTCTTAATCCTGTGGGTGTGCTCAACTATTTCCTTCATTCAAACTTTGCAACCTTGTTAGAGAAAAACAAGAGGATTATCTACATTTTACAGATTAGTAGATCATGTGACCACTCTAGAGTCACATAAATGATACATAGAAAATGAGATATTGGGTCTCTGCCTTCTTTACACCTACAGTGAACTACAGTGGTTTGCTTGTAGCAAAAGGGTAGTAAAAATGCCACTCTCCTATGTCCAGTGGTGACAGATGGACAAAGCACAGAACTGAGAATCAGAAGGTTCTAATTTCATGTCTGTGTGACTGTGAACTAATCTGAAAACAAAATTAAAACATAAGCTTCCCATAGTTACTCTTTTCTCAAAAGTATTGTTTCTCATCCCAGTTTAAGAGGAAATATATAAAGGTAGCAAAGCTCCTGTTGAGAAGAATTTGCTGGTGGTGGGTTCTCAATGTAATTAACCCCAGGCTGGTGGTTAGAACATAGGAGGAACTGACTTTGTCTATGTCCACAGCCAGTCATGATCACCAGGATTCTGGAAGTGGATAATCGAACCATGACCACGTATTTCATTCTTCTGGGATTTCCAACTCGACCAGCTTTCCAGCTTCTCCTGTTCTCTGTCTTCCTGGCAGCCTACCTGCTGACTCTGCTGGAGAACCTTCTTATCATCCTAGCCATTCGCAGTGATGGGCAGCTGCACAAGCCCATGTACTTCTTTCTGAGCCACCTCTCCTTCCTGGAGATGTGGTATGTCACAGTCATCAGTCCCAAGATGCTGGTGGACTTCCTCAGCCATGACAAGAGCATTTCCTTCAACGGCTGCATGACTCAGCTCTACTTCTTTGTGACCTTTGTCTGCACTGAGTACATACTCCTCGCAGTCATGGCCTTCGACCGCTACGTGGCCATTTGTAATCCCCTCCGTTACCGGGTCATAATGACCGACCAGCTTTGTGGTACACTGGCCGGAGGGTGCTGGCTGTGTGGACTCGTGACAGCCATGATTAAAATGGTTTTCATAGCCCGGCTCCACTACTGTGGCACACCTCAGATCAATCACTACTTTTGTGATATCTCTCCACTCCTCAATGTCTCCTGTGAGGACTCCCCCCAGGCTGAACTGGTGGACTTCTTCTTGGCACTCATGGTCATTGCGGTTCCCCTGGGTGTGGTTGTGGCATCTTATGCCACCATCCTCACTGCCATCCTCAAGATCCCTTCCGCTCAGGGTCGCCAAAAAGCCTTCTCCACCTGTGCCTCTCACCTGACCGTTGTTACTCTTTTCTACTCCACCACCCTGTTCACCTATGCCCGCCCCAAGCTCATGTATGCCTATAACTCCAACAAAGTGGTGTCTGTTCTCTACACGGTCATTGTCCCACTTTTAAACCCCATCATTTACTGTCTGAGGAACCGTGAAGTGAAGGCCGCGCTCAAAAAGACCGTACTTTGCAAAGGAAGTGGGCCAAAGGAAGAGGGAGATTGAAGTCGTTAAAAAAGTTATAGGCTACTTTTAGGCCTGAATAGGAAGAGGATTATAACACCTTTTCAGTCTCGCCTTTATTTATCCATCAACCTCCAGGACTCAAATACCACTCATATGTGTATATGTGTATATCATGTAGATATGAATATACAGTCCTAGAGGTATATACTCATATATACATACTTATGATAGGAGAACCATATTCCCGAGAAGTAGTCTCGATCACTCCAAGTCAAGAGACAAATTTCAGGCATTTAAAAAATCTGAAATATGGGCAGGGGGCTACAGTAGAAGAATGCATGGGATAAAAGGAGAGGGGAGGGAGGGAGACACTTTCTTCATACAACTTACCAAATAAATTCCAGACAGGATAAGCTAATATAAAGAATAAAACTATCTTTCTGTTTTTAGGTTAGGAAAAGACGACTCTCTTTGTCTTGGAGAAATAAAAAATAAAGATGAAATCACTTTAATTCCTCATTGTTAATTTTTACAAATAATAAACAATAGATAAAAATCAGAATAACAGAATAGACAATATTTTCAACCCATATACACCATCCTTAAATATTAAAAGTACTTTCAAATCAACCTCTAAAAATTGAACCCTGAGTAGGAAAATAGATTAAGAATACAAGTGTAAGAAAAATTAAGTGATGCTGTGGGTTGAGTTGTGTCCTACAAAAAGAGATATGTTCAAGTTTTAACCCTTAGTACCTAACGACATGATCTAATTTGGATGTAAGATTTTTGCAGTGATGCTCAAACTAAAATGAGCTCATTGAAGTGGGGCCTGACACAGAATGACTGGAGTCATCATAAAAAGGGGAAATCTGGACCCAGCACAAATGACCACAGAGGGAAGACACACAGGGAGATGACTACCAGGTGACTAGGTGAAACATCTGCAAGCCAGGGGATGAGCAGTATGTCTGGTAAACACCAGAAGACAGAGAGGCAAGAAAAGAGTCTCTCCGAGCCATGAGAGAGAACAGGTCCCACCAGCACAGTGGTTTCTGACTTCTACCTATCTCCAGAGCAGAGACGACAAATTTTTGTTATTCTAAACCACCATGTTTTAGTGTTTTGTAACAACAGCCCTAGAAAACTAACATAGAAACCAACAAACTTTGGTAATATTTAATATCAAAAATAAAATATTGAACAATATTGAAATACCCCAATTTTTAATTGGTTATTTATATAAACATATTACCCATTGTGGATAATAGTATAAGCACATATTTTGAATTTATACTAGATTGTATAAATTAAGAGAATAATTGTAATCCCCAGGGCAACCATTATGAGAATGACTACTTATAATTAGACAAATTATTTCAAACTCTCTTAAACTTAAGTGGAAATATTCAGGCCCACTGGTTCTGTAATTTCAAATCTAGGTTCCATATTGGGGACATTGTTAGAGTCTGAAAACAAGTCTGGATGGCGCCTGGCATTTTGCCAGAGGGAGTGGTTTGTGAAGTAACACCAGCGAGCCATTAAGTGTGGAGATTCCTTATTGGTTGACTGCTGTATCGAGTTTATGTTAATTAGATAAGCTGTGTGGAATGTATAAATACCTATGTTGTCCTTCAATAAAAGGCTCCCACTCCTGCTGTATCAATCTACACAAGTTGCTCATCACTCCCCGGCTATTTTGCTGCAGCCGGACTGCGGCAGGACATAATTTAGGAAAAATATATAGATGAAAATATTAAGTTCAGCATTTTTAATAAAATATTAAAACCATGTAAAAATCCCTAAACAGAAATATTTAGGCTAATTGTCATTTATCTATGAGAAAATATTGTGCAGATATTAGAAGTCACATTTCCAAAGAAAAAATGGCATTCAAGAATTATAATATTAAATGAAAAAGGAGAATATCAAATAATATGGTATAAACTTTAATTTTATAAGAAATTAGGAAATTGATAAAGAATTGATGGGTATACAGGTAGATTTGTATGTGTGTATATGAAAAAAAATCCTGAAAAATTTTAAATCTATATTAAAGTTTTTTTTCCCTCAAGTTTATGGTTTATTTTAAAATTACCTATACTTCCTCAAAGTTCTATAATAATAACATATTAGTTTTATAATTATTATGCCACATAACATATTAACTTACATAGGGAAAAAATCTTTCCTGGTGTTGCTGTTCTCTTTGAATGCACTCTTATCATTTAAACAGCCTTAGGATTAAAGATTTAGTGGATTGTAATTCTTGATTATAATTAATAATATATTGAGGGGTATGGAAAAGTTCGCCATGCTTATCTCTCATCAAGATTTTAACTCAATTGAGAAATAAGAAAAATAATATGCAAAAGGAAATCTAAATATTGTGTTTTACTAATTATGAGTAGGTTGAAAGAAGTGGCTGGAAGTATAAAATAAGTAAGTATAAAATATTACTGAATCCTCTAACTATACAGACTTCTGCACTCAATCAACCAGAGTAGTCAGACACGTTCAGGTCTTTCACCATTTTTTTAATTTCCTATGACTAGTTGATTCCTAAGGAGAGGAAAAGATAATAAAAATATGTATGGGCCCATTTTTTAGAAAAGGCAAGAGGCCAGAGTATGGAAAATCTTGCTTTGTGCAAAGCAAAAAAATTGGAGAGAAATACTTTCTCTGTGCATAATACACAATAATATTTGCAGTGCAAAAAGAATGATTATAAAACTATGTCGATAACCTTATTACGAATGAAGATAAAACTTGTATGACAATAATAATATAGAGATGATATAAAAGAAATACAATAAGACAAAAGTTTTTATGTACTATTGAAATTAAATTGATATTATTCCAAATTAGATTGTATAAATTAGGAGACTAATTGTAATCCCCAGGGCAATCACTATGAGAAAAATTAAAAATATATGCAGTAAAAGAAATAATAAGAAATTAAAAATGTGTACAATAAAATAACTTAATGCAGAAGGTAGTAATGTATGAATTGAAAAACAAAAAGTCATAAGACATAAAGAAGTATAAAGATGGCAAACATAATATATTAAATACTACAACATGAAGGTAAAAATTAACAGAATATACTTGATGTTATGTGTGCAGTCATCCTTATAATCCTATGGTGGTAACACCCCTTCCACAAGCGGTAAACAAGAATGATACAAACATCCAACTTTATGTTTCTGTAAAAGATGTATTTAGACACAAAGACATAAATCAAAAGTAAAAGAAGGGGAAAAGCCATGCTTTGTAAAATGGTAACCAAAAGAGCTGAATTTTTCTATATCAGTGTCAGACAAAATAGACTTTAAGATAAATATGGCTACTAGAGGTGAAATCAGATACCTTATAAAAGATACAGCTCATCAAGACTGAGCAATGTAAACATATTCACCAAACAACAGAGCCATAAAACATACGAGTCAAAAACTGATGAAACTGAATAGAGAAATAAATAATTCAACAATAGTCAAAGGCATCAATATCTCACTTTCAATAATTGATAGAAAAAGCAAAATGAAAGCCAGGAAGAACACATAAAACTTAAACAATATTTTAAATAAATAAACAATATATATAGACTCCTCTGTCCAACAAGCAGAATACACATTTTTCTTAAATGTACATGAAACATTCTTAAAGATAGACTATTTATTAGTATATAAATTAAGCCTCAATAAATTAAAAAGGATAGAAATCATGCAAAGCATGCTCTCGGACACACACTAAAATGAAATTATTAAGTATTATGAATTATTGTGGATTATGCAGAGAGTGCGGTAATTAAATACAGAAATCAACCTATATACAACTAAATAACTAATGGATCAAAAAGGAAATCAAACAGAAAATTTAAAAATACTTGGATATGAGTGAAAATGAAAACAAAAATGCCACAATATATATCATGCGACTAATGCAGAGATTAGGGGCAAATTTGTGGTGGTAAAGATCCACATTTAAAAAGGAAAGAGATCTCTACTTACTCTTTTAACTTATGACATTACAAAAGAAGAACAAATTAAGCCCAAAGCAAGCAAAAGGAAGATAATAATAAACATCAGAGAGAAGACAAATGAAATAAAGAATAAAAAAGTAGAGAATATTAGCAAACGCAAAAGTTGATTCTTTGAGAGTATCTTCAAAATGTACAAATCTTTAGCAAGACTAAATAAGAAAAGGAAGAAAAGAAACTCAAATTGCTAAAATCAGAAATAAAAAGGAGACATTGCTCTTGATGTAGATGAATAAAAGGGGATTATAATGGAATATTATATATAATTTGTGTCAAAAACTGGATAACATAGATAAAATAGACAAATTCTTTAAAAGACAAACTATTGAAACTGACTCAATAAGGAATCTAAAATATAAATAGGCATACAACCAGAAAAATATTGAATTAATAACCAAGAAAACTCTACACAAATAAAAAGTCATGTATAGATGACCTCATGGGTAAATTTTACCAAGCATTTGAAGAAGAATAAGAATCAAACTTTAACAAATTTTCAAAGAACAAAAGAGAAGGGAGTACTGTCCAACTCATTCCATGAGACCAAAATACTCTACACTATGACGGTGCTGTGTAAATAACTTTTAATTCTAGTACCAAAGTCAAGACAGAAGCGCTGAAAATAACTATAGCAAGAGTACATTGTTAATGGGGACACAATATAGAAAGATGTAGTTGTGACTGATTGCATAAAATGTGTAAAAGAAGTAATAATGTGTAGTTTTTGTATGTATTTAAATTTAAGTCACATTAAATTAGAATGTTGTAACTAAGAGATAGTTTATGTAGAAACCATGGTAATGACAAATAAAAATGACAAATAAAAAACCACTTGTATAATAACAAAAGACGAAGAAAAAGAATTGAAGAATACCCCCCAACAAATCACAAATCACAAAGTCAACAAATCACAAAGGAATACTCAAGAATGGGGAAAAAATTAAAAGGAACAAAGTAACTGTGGAATTATAACTAAACAATTAAAAAGGCAGTAGTAAAT